GGGGGGGGGGGGGGTTGTCGCTACACGGTCCAGCTGCGGGTGCTGGTTGAGTAGTGGACGGTTAGCTGCCTATTTGTTCTTTTTGCTGCGAAGTTGCGCGTGCGCAGGGGAGCGGCCGCGCGTGCGCTGCATTTTCCCTGCCTACTCGTCTCTCGCGCACTACCTATTTTATCGGAGTCACCCCTGCGGGATTATTTGCGGTATCGGTCTGCATCTGGTTGGAGTTGGTACTCGGAAGGTAAGATGCGTTGTCGATTTGTAGATACTTGCGTGTCGTGCTTGTGATGCTCGCCATTCCTGTCATCGCGCGCCTGCTCGCGCCATTTTTTCAACTTGTCAAGTGTTTTGCTGATTATGCTTTTGTTATCTATGTTTTACATTTGCAGATCGAGCACTTCGTTGACCCCAAGGACAAGAAGCACCCCAAGTTCGCTACCATCGCCGATAAGGAGCTCGTGCTCTTCGGGCAGGTGCGTCGATGGTGTCACAACGTTACTGCCGATAGCGAAGCGTGAACGGTAGAAGTGTATCTTGCGGACGCGTGCGTCTCAAGTGCAGCTATATATAGCGTACCGTGGTGTAACCGTGCCGGTGTAGACGACGCGGCTCATACCGGGTCACACGCCGCCGGTGTGTAGTCAGTAAAGGGTCCCGTTGCATGCAGATCCAACAGTGGGAATCTTCATCTTTGCACGGTTGACGGGACTCCACCTTGAGAATCGACGAGCTTTATTGTGGTACATACCACCATGCTGCTGTAAAATGCTCGCCAATGCGTCGGCACCTCTCGCTCTCTTCGACGCGTGCTTCTACCGTTGTCTCAGAAAACATGTGGTGTTGCTGTTGTGTGGTTTGTGTGCTTGCATTGCTGTTTAAAAATATATACGTGGTAACCGCTGTGCTTGTGTGTTGGTTGGTGTTTGTCCACAGGACGCCCAGCTTGGGACGGGCAAGACGAGCAAGATGACTATCGGGCAGGCGGTGAAGGACGGGCTGGTCGACAACGAGACGCTCGGTTACTTCATGACCCGCACACAGCTCTTCTTGGAGATGGTGGGTCGTGTTGTTCTTGCGCGCGCCGTGATTGTCGTAGCGCGAGTGACCGCACCTCCTTTCGTAGCTATTATAGAGTAGCTCGATTGCTCCACAGCCGAGAGGGCATCGCTGACAGTGGCTTTGAAAGGTTGTCGTCGAAGAAGACACGGTTGTCCTCACACGGAAACCGTCACAGCGTTGGGTCGAAGCCATCGCCGTAGCATACCAACTAATTCAACTTGAAAAACATCACGATGCGGTGCTCTTCCTGCAGATCGGGATGGACCCTAAGCGCATGCGGTTCCGACAGCACCTCTCGACGGAGATGGCTCACTACGCCGCCGACTGCTGGGACATGGAAATCCAAGTCTCTGACGGGTGGACCGAGTGCGTGGGACACGCCGACAGGTGCGACGAAGGGGCAGCCGCGGTCGGGAATTCACGTTCGTTTGGGGAGGAGGGGTCGTTTGTTTCGTTCGCCAGCAAGGGGGGTCCAAATGTTTCTTTGGCGTGGGGGGGGGGGGCGTCTGTCGTCGATGGAAGCCATGTCATGTCGAAAGCCTTGCGTGGCCTTGATTTTCCGGAAATATGGCAAAACAAAAAGAGAGCAACAGGCCGTAACCTCACGGTGTGACTTACAGTGGCATACGGTCGTGTGAAGTGTACTGTACTGTACTGCACTGTTGGTCTGTTTCTTTTCCTTTGTCCTGTCGTGCACATTTTTTCCCAAAAACTTTTGGAGTCCCTGCTTGTTATTCGAAGTAATGGATTGGCAGTGCTGGAGAAGATGGTAACAAAGGCTGATGTTTGTTGTCTTTTGCAGGTTTCCGGACCCCCAACCATCCCGTTGCTACGGCTACTTTGTCGGGAAAGACGGAACGCATATCGCCTCCTGTGTTCGGTCGTACTTGCGTGCTTGTCTAAGCACTTGTGGACATGACATGGCAGCAATTTTACGATGTATACGTTGTGGTGGCAACTGCTACATGATAACAGTTGTAACCATCAAATCAATGATGTGACGATTTGCTGGAGCGAAAACAACCACCTCTCGAAACTCTGTGCATGGTCGTTCTACATACCAAATTTTGCTGTTCGTAAACATTTAGGACCCTGTCTTGTGCTTACAATATTGTCCGCCCTGACGGGTACGACAGATTCAGGACACGCCGGAAAATGAACTATAAACTTGAGTACGGATTTTCTCAACAATAAAGCAAAAAATGCCGATTTTCCCACGAACGATAGGTCGTGCTACGACCTCGAGATGCACTCCAAGAAGACCGGCGTGGCAATGCTGGCATCTTGCAAGCTCCCGGAGCCCAAGGTTGTGACGGAATACAAGCTGCAGATCGACAGAAAGGCGCTCGGGAAAACCTTCAAGGCAGAGCAGAAGAAGGTGTGCAAGGCGCTGCCATTTTTGAGACCAATCTATGTGATCTCTGTACTAGCTTGTGTCCGAGGCCGATCAAACGGCCGGAACTTTCGCTCCTTCGCGGCATGTTGAATATCGAATTGCGGGATTGATGCCTATGATATCGGAGTCGAGCCGCACGACATACAAGGAGACGCGGCGATAAGTTGCGGCATCCATCTCTCACACGAAGAGCAGTCAAGTTGACGGCTGACAGCTCTGCGTGGTCTAGACCGGGGAGTCATGGCTGGCGCATCGACTGCTGTTTTCCTTTCGTAGGGGGTGACGCCGAATGCTGCTTCTTCCTCTGTTGTTCTGTGCTGCCATCACAATCGTCGGCCGCACCACTAATAGAAGCTTGTGTTGGCACTTGACTTTTTTTTTTTTTCTTCTCAAACGTGTAAGAACCGTACACGAAAATAATAATACGTGATTTCTTCGCTGACCCCGTGTTCCTCCAGGTGATCGCCGCGCTGGAGGCACTCTCGGAGAAGGAGGAAGACCTGCTGGCGTTCCAGGCGAAGCTGGAGGAGGAAGGGAAGGCGTCCTTGGGGGAGGGGGCGGGGTTCGAGATCACCAAGGGCATGTGCTCGTGGACGAAGGGCTCCAAGAAGATTTCCGAGATAAAGTTCACGCCCAGCGTAATCGAGCCCTCGTTCGGTGAGAAAAATCGATACTCTCACTGGTGTTTTGTGTGTTCCACGGCAATGATTTGTTGCCCCGCGCGAAAGCTACGTTTAGGGCGTTGTGCTTAATACGTTACGTACGTTTGTGTCGTTTATAGCTGCTTGCTTTTGTCGTGCCCACGCGACAGCGGAGGCGTTGTTTGAGCGGACGAGGTTCATCACGGCCTGGGTACCTCTTGCGCAATCGAGGGCCTTGGGGTGTTTGTGCTCACACGCGTGTCGCAAGCCTTCCGGAACAAGGACAAGGGCACAAAACTTGCTTTGCTTTCGTGAGAGGCCTGTCACTCTCTCTCTCTCTCTCTCTCTCTCTCGTTCTCTCTTCCTCTCGCACACACGTATCACACATCACACCATGGCCTTGAGAAGCACTCATGTTTTCAGTCCCTCGGAGACTGACATCTCAGAATCGTACAGCCGGTAAACGCGGTCGATGCTATTCACTAATAATATAAATCGCGCACATGTCACCGGAACTATGTGTTCGTTTCGGAACCCCTTCAAAGGCATCGGGCGTATCCTGCACTCCCTGCTGGAGCACAGCTTCTACGTGAGGGAGACGGAGGAGGGCGCAGACGACAAGGACATGAAGAGGGGGGTCATGGCGTTCCGTCCCCTGGTTGCCCCCATCAAGTGCGCGGTTTTCCCCCTGAGCTCTCAGGCCGCGTTCATCCCGCTGTGCGGTCGCGTCATGGACGCCTTAGGAAAGATGCACCTCAGGTACAGCACAAGAATGACATGGATATCGCAGAATGTCACGAAATTGTGGATGTACATGTCTCTAAATTTATGCGCACTCCATGAGAGGCGTGTTGAGGGTCAACCTGCCTCCTTCCGCCAGCCCACACTGTGCACCTACGCAGTGCATGGCCAACAATAAACGCCCCCATGCACACTGCTTTAGACGCAGAAAGTGCCCAAAGAGCTACAGCACTTCCATCGACCCCCCAACACGACGTATCCTGCCTGCCGACCCCCCCTACCCTTTCTCGGACAACAACGCACTTCATCTTGATACCGCCAGCGCGAAAATGGACGCTAGCGGGGCTGCTCTCGGACGGCGGTACGCCCGCATGGACGAGCTCGGCGCGCCCTTCGGGGTGACCGTGGATTTCCAGACGGTTGAGGACGAGACGGTGACGCTGAGGGAGAGGGACAGCATGACGCAGATCCGAATGCCTATGGCGGACGTTGCTCCGCTCATGGCACGCCTCGTGACCGAGGAGGTCGCGTGGAAGGTGCGGTGGTTAGAGTTTCGGGGCGGAATGTCATTGTGTGCTCTCGCACGTACGTTTGTCGCCGTTGGTTGGTCGCAGTGTAGGTGTTTTGTTGCACACCGTTTGCATGTGTGCTGTTCGACTGCCAGCAGCAATCGACATCTGAAGGAGGGATAGTCGGTCCTACCGTCCCTGTCGTCCTGTGTTTGCATACTCTGTTTCAATATTTGTTTTGTATCCGTCGTTTTTTCTCACAACCGCTCCCGACTCTTTGCCTCTAGCCTCTGTTGATGAACCCACAATGGCCCCATGCTCAACGCTGTGTGTACCAGGAGTGCACGTCCCAGTACCCCGTTGTTCGAGAAGAAGTCGGTGACAGCACCAGTGCCGCCGCCGCCGCTGCGTCAGCAAAGACGGCGGCCGGAGGGAGCGCCCTGACGACAGAAAGCACTCCCTGCGGCATCTTCTCCAGACCGACGACCCCCATCCAAGTCAAGCCTTGAGAGTCTCGCGGCCCTGGCACGAGGGTGCCGCATGGTGTCGTCGTTTCCCTTCTTGCTTCGCTCCCCCGTTTTGTTGTCCAGCGCGTCGTTCGGGAGGGTTGCTGGTTGGTTGTTCGGTCTTGTAGCAGTGTTTGATGTAGGTCCCGCGAATGAATCTCATGTTGATTTTTGTGTCGAACCCATGTTCAAGTAGGTGGAGGAGCACCCACCTATCTGCCGTTGGCCTTTTGGGGGCTCGGATGTTTGCGTCTGGCAGGTTGGGGGGAGGGGGGGGATAGACACGTTTCAGGTCTTACTGTTTGAGAAGGACGAAGGCAAGCACGGGGGGGAGCACATCTGTTGCCGTCTCGATCGTGTTCGATCTTTTGCCGTTGCCGCAGCAAGTCTCGGTGGCTGCGTTCAAGTGTCATCCAGTGATTTCATTAATTACATGGAACGAAGGTACCCAATGAAAGCATCAGCAGGTAGGCATTGCTAGTTGTTTACCGGCGGGTGGGACGTGTAATTTTCAGCCGGGGTTCCTAGTCCCCGATGTCACGGTGCCGAGCGTTCTGTGCAGGCCAGCCAATCCATTTGTTGGACGGGTCGAAGCCCGAGCAAACTATCTCCGTTGTCGGAATTGCGTATTGATCCCAGTGTAACCAAATTAATGTGGTTGGTGCTGGCTGCCGCAACGACAGCGGCGCACTGCGCTGGCTGCTCTTGTACGCTTTCATCCCTGTTCCTCCCATTAATCACTTGCAAAGCGATCACTTACAGACCGACACTGCCTTTTATTGCTGAAGCAAATACAAGGCCGCCACACACGACCGATGACACGGGCTTTGATTTGCCTTTATCCGTTTTGGGTAATGTTTCGTGCGGCATGTGCTTCACATGCCATGCTTGATGCCGCTTCGCATCTCGGAGATGGGGGACGAGGGAGAGACCGCTGGCCTCGATAGGCTGCGGCAAACTCCTCATGTCATCTCACAACGACCAAACACAGTTTTGTGGTAATCCGCAAATGGAAATCGGGGTTTCAGTCAGCGCTATCCCGAAAAAAGCATTGAAACAAATCTTGTCCAGCAGCAGGCGCTAGCGAACCCTTCACAACCTACAACCTACAGTTTTTTTAACCCTGCCTGCGGGAACACCTTCTAGGGTGAACGGCTTACGGAACTCAACATCCGACACGCAAGCCACCACCGAAGTACACCTCTTTCTACAGACACCTGTAGGGGGTTGACGATGGGCCGCTGGCACACAAAATATACGACAAAAAAGGCGCCAGCAAGGCGAAGGACTGTAGTTGTCCTCGTCTCGATCGACGGAATGGGACTGTTGGTTGACACTTTTATTTGCAACAGGGCAGCAGAAACAGACCGACGAAACTAGAGTAATCATGGACGACATGAGTTGGTTGGGACAGCAGACAAGAAAACAAAAATACGACGCACGAAAGAAACGGGACATTTCCTTTCTTCCCTATCGAGATGAAAACACTATTGGTCCACCAAGCAGAGCAACGATGCGATTTCAGCACAAGCATCGCTGCAGCAGTACGCACACTTAAAGGAAATAAACAACAAACAACGACTCATCCTCAGGGCGACTAAAACAAACCAACCAAAAAACCACCTGTACCAGTTTGGGTAACGAGAACCGATCAATGTCCGCAGAAGCCGGTGACGTCTTGACAACAATACCCACAACCCGTATCTCCCGTTCTCTGATGCCAAAAATCGGCCCGCTCTTTGCATCGCAGCAAGCTCAAGCGGATCACACCCGGCTGCTTCGCCCGTCCTCTCACACCCCGAAAGGCTGCGAGTCCGACGACCGCCCCCCATCGACCAGCTCGTCGCCCTGACGATGGTCATCACCCAACGCCGCAAATCCCTCCCCCGGTCGGCCGAACATCCTCCCCAAGGGTCCCCCCCCCGACGGCGTTCCCGAACCGGCCGTCGCACGCGAGACGCCGAAGTCAACCTCCACCTCGTCATCGAGCTCGCCCTCCTCCTCCTCTTCACCGCTCGTCCCCGAAACCACAGTCAACCGGCCGCCGCCGCCACCGCCGCCGCGGCTCGCCTCAGCGGCGGCGACGCGGTACCGGTGAGACCCGCTCCCGTTATCCCGGTAGCCCCCGGGCCCCGCCTGCAAGAAGTCGTCCTCGGCCCCCTCCACCACCTTGCCGCCTCCCCCGGCTCTCCCCATCTCCAGCTTCGTGTGCCGGTGCTCTCCTCTCCTGATGCGGCGGACCACGAGGATGCCGGTGATCCCGCAGAGCGCCACGGCCACCAGCGTCCCTATCGAGGCCGCGGCAGCAACCGCCGCCAGGCTCGGCTGTCCCGAGTCCCCGCCGGCGCCGCCCGGCACCTCGTCACTCCCAACAGCGGCGCCTTCATCGCTCTGGCTACCCTGCCCACCCTGCGACGCCCCCCCCGCTTCCCCACTGCCGCTGCTTCCGTCCCCAACGTCGTCAGGCGCCGGCGTAGCGGAACCGGCAGAGGAGGCGTCGCCCTCGCTGCCGTCAGAGGAGGGAGGTGGAAGCGGCAGCAGCGGTGCAGTAGTGGCCTGAGCGCTGCTAGCCGCCGGGGATGGCTCGGGCGTCGTCGGGCTTGTCGTTGCCTGGGCGGCCTCACCGGCGTCTGATGCTGCATCATCATCGCCGTCGTCGCCGCCGTTCACCGGCGTCGCCGAGACAGGAGCGTCCGCCTCGCACTCGCCGCCTATCCTGAGGGCGGTGGCCCTGGCGAGGCCCACGGTCTTGTCCTCGACGTTGTAGGCGGTGTAGAACGTGCGGAGGAACGAGTCTCCCAGGATCCTGGGCGCGCGAGAGAGAGGATCAGCCAAACCGCATATTGGTATCGGCCCCGAGATTTTTCAAGGTAGGTTTGCGAGGACGACGAGAGGATCGACAAGATCAAGATTTGTTGGGGCTCTCGTAGCGCCCAAGAGGCAACCAGCACACGATTCACCAAACCAAGGTAATCAACCTAGCGCGGCCCGGAGGGGTTTACATAGAGCACGCTTGTTGTCGGGGTTTCGGGGACCGGCTACTGTAGTCCGTCGCAGCGGAAGGCAGAGGATTCGGGTTCCGCGAGAAGGTTGCCAAGTTGAACAGCGTGCAAAGGGCATATCCCACCCGTACATTGACGTTCCACACCATGCGGAGCGCGCGTTGCGGTGCGTAGACACGGGACACCTCCTCCCGCTTGCTTGGAGGAACTTGATACAATCGAACCGGGCGCAGTAAATGAGCCAACACCCCCCATTCTGTCGAAGGGATTGACTTGACTTGACTCACCACATGTTCTCCTGGTGGCCCAACATCCCGAAAAGGCACCACGGCTCGGTTGACGAAGAAGACACCGTTGAAGGGACGAAGTCCGTGAGGGGCTGGAGGAGCTCGTTGGACTGAACGACGCACAAATAAATATGCCAACAGCGGACGAAGAGGGACGAAGAGGGGTTGAGTGACGCACGTCATTTGGCAACAAGAAAGAGAGAGGAGAGAGAGAGAGAGAGAGACAGACAGACAGACAGACAGACAGACAGACAGACACCAAGCAGCCCCCCCCCCCCCCC